ATGTGCAAGCGAGGAATCTTCACCAAGGAACAGCGGCGAATGGTGACCACCAGGCGCAATCGCGAATTGGCCCTCGGTGTCCTTGATCGAGATCTTGGCGGTGTGCATGAGTGGCATGAGATTGGCAAACCAGCACAGGGTGGCCGAGGGCGGGATCGGCTGCGGGTACATGAGCGGCGAGCAGGGCATGGCGAGTGCCCAAGCTGCGAGACCAAGGCAAACGCGAGCGGGCGTACCGTTGGGGCCGGCGTCGTTGAGCATGACCGCAAGCTCCGTGACATGGTGGCGCAAGATCAGGTTGGCGAGCGAGTCGAGGTCGTGGATCGCCGGGTGATGGATCAGAGCCGACGACGTGGTGCGGTCGACGCCCAGCTTGTGCCGAATTAACGACCGAAACTTGGCGTCCCACTTGTCAATCACGCTGGGCGGCGGGACGCAGTTGCTCGTGCGGTACAATGCCGCCGGGAAAATGACATTATTAGCAAAGTACACAGCCATCTTGCCCGTAATCGCCTTGGTCTTGAGCAGCCCGAGACCCTTGGCCAGCTCTGCCTCGAATGCGTTGCGCGCCGTCCGTGGCCAGTCCTTGGCTGACAGCCAGACACCAAGGTACCTGAATGGCCGTTGCTCGTCCAGAAACGGGATTGCCTCACCGCCAACTGTGAGCGGCTCACCTCGCCTCTCGGCGTCGCAGTTGAGCACGAGCATGGCGCCTTTGGACGCATTTGCCTTGACCGCCGTGACCCGGTTGAATGACGACACGATCGCAACCAAACGCTCCATCTCAGCACGGTTCGGCGCGAAGAATGCCGCGTCATCGACGAACGCCATGGCCGCCAGCTTGGCCGTGTCCACTACTTCCCCGCGCGCTGTGTACGGGGTCATGTACGACGGGGCCGGCTCTGGATTGCCGAACTCGCCTTTCCGCGCGCAAAGTGTCACCCCTGGGCACTCGCGGTTGATGCGGGCAAGCATCACGTCGTAAAAGATGATCCACATGAGGGGCGACTCGACGGCGCCCTGGGGGATGCCGCGGTGCATGCGGATTGGGTCAGTCGGGCCGTACTCAGTCGCGACGCGGGCGGTGCGGCCCGTGAGCATTGAGTCGCAGTACAATTCGACAAACGCGGCTGGGATCTTGAGGCGCTTGAGGGCGAGGCGCAGGATGTGGTGTGGGGCCGTGTCAAACGCCTTGGACTTGTCCTCAAAGTACACCCAAAGTTGCTGTTTCCGGGCGCGGGCTTGTGACATGGCAGCGGCAAGTGTTGCGATTGGGAGTGTGGTGCTGGTGCCGGGCAGGACGCTGTGACGGGCGCCAAGGAGGACGTTGCGGTCAGTGAGCACTTTGCACATGCGGGTATTCAACACTTTCATGAACAGCTTGCTGGCGCACTCCAGAAGCGTGATCGGGCGCATCCCGTTGGCAGACCCTGCGTAACCCACGGGCGACTTGGGTACGAGCACCATCAGCCCCTCCTTCCAGGCTTGCGGCACCCTCCTCAGGCGGAGGATAGCGTTGAAGATGTCCAAGAGGGCCTGGCGGCAGCTGTCGCCAGCATCGCGCAGTAAGCGGTACGTGATGTTGGACGGGCCGGGTGCCTTGTCTATCCCCACAGCGCGGTAGGCCGCGTCTACGTCTGCAGTTGTCATTGGGTCGGGCAAGCCAGCCCACATGCCACCATCCAAGTCGTCGCGCCCGTCAAACTCTGTCTCCCAATCATCAAGAGGGTCGTACTCCTGTTGGTCGAACCATTGGGCGACCTCGGCGGCGATGCCGTCTTTGACGTCCTGCGGCTCGCGCGTGATGCGCTTGCCGTCGTCGCCGTCGTCACGCAGGTGGAACGCAATGTTGCTGTCGGGGCGGCCCCGCTCAGTGACTCGGTTGACCACCGAGGGCAGGTTGTTCAAGAAGTCCTCGTTGCGCTGGTCGATACGTGCCGTGATCATGGCGGCGCGGTGCACGTCAAGGTGCTCGGCGTGGGCGACTCGCAGGAAGTACAGGGCTGCACGTGCAAACGACCGGTCGCAGTTGAAGAATGCCCGCGGTCGGCACCCGTGAGTTTCGGCGAGCTGTGCGGCAGTCGCAGGCGGCGGGCCGCGGCGGCGGCGCTTGGACCATTGGCGGATGGATGCGATGGCCTTGGTGAGTGGGTCCGTGGCGCGTGGGTCGGCGAGAAGCTGTGAAAAACGCATCTTGACGGGGAGAGCATCTTTTGCAGACATTTGGAGTGTGTTTGCATAGGAGGCCCACGCACCGTCAATGTTACCAGCAGCAAGACAGGCTCCAACGTCGGCACCGAGTCGTGTGTCGGATGAGCGGCGGTATGCTTTCCATTGGTCAGCATTTGCGGCGGCAGTGTTGATGTGTTGGACTTGAGCTTGCTGTAATGCCGCTGCGACTCGGTGCCACTGGGCCCAATCGAGCTGCTGGCCAAAATCCGTGCTGATGGTCACTGCTGAATGGTCGGTCCCGTGGCGCGCTGGGAGGTTTGGGGCAGTCACGGCGGCGCGAGTTGTAGCAGCAAGCGTTTCCCCGCACCCGAACCAGAGATCAAGGCGGTTCGCGCCACGTGTGCCGGTGAGGCAACCGTGCGCTGCGGCAAGGTCCGCGGCACCGATCTCGAGTGTAACCATGTCGATGAGTGTGGTCGCGCCTGGGGCGTTTGGGTTGAGATCGCCACCTAGCAAGATGCGGTAGCCCTTGCTGCGCGCATCGTTGAGTTCTCGTCGGAGCCAGGTTGTGAGCTTGGCATTGGTGGGGCCGTCGTGTGGGACGTACACGCCAAATACGGCGACGGCGGAGAGTCCAATGAGGTTGACGTCGATGCGAATGGCATGTCCGGCGAAGCGCGAGGTAAAGCCGATGTGTGGGTGCAAGTCGCGGCGGTACAACAGGGCCACTCCTGAGCCCTGCGGGCGTTCGCTGTCGTGCGTCCATGCTGCCCTCCATTCATCAGAAAGGGCATAGTCCATCCGCGACTGGACACGTTTCGTCTCTGCAAGCTTCGTTTCCGTTAGTACAACAAAATCGGCTTCAAGCAATGCCATGAACGCCATCACTGAGATCATTTTGGTGGTATCACTAATGCCGCGCACGTTGAGGGTGGAGAATGTGATGTTGGGGCTGGCATCAGTTGGGGGCATCATGCGCATTCGTGCGGGGTCGGTCGCGCCTCTCCTATTCATTGACGCGAGGAGGGGGAGGCGGCGGGGGCACTGGTTGTACCAGCAGTAGGGGCAAGGGCGGCGGTCCGCGTGCGGGTGGTGCGCAGGGGTATGGTGGCGGGAGCTGTGGGGGCGGTGCGCGGTTGCTGGGCGCTCTGTTTATCAGCCACGATGCTGGAGGCGTTGCCGGCGGAGCGCTTGGTGGCCTGGTTGAGTGGAGCATGGGTGGTGGTGGTCGTGGGCGGCGTTGTGGTAGTGCCTGTGGTGGCAGTTACCATGAAGGATGTGTTGGCCTGCGTGTCATCATCATCAGAGGGCAAGTCCATGATGTTCACGCCGACAAGCCCAGGATTGCCCTGAGGGCGGGCGAGCTTGGCACGCAGCTCTGCAATCTCGGCATCCTTCGCCTCAACCGCCATGCGCAGCTCAGCAACTTCGGCATCCTTTTCGCGCACCTCGGTGCGCAGCTCGTTGACCTCGGCACGGTATTGACGCACCTCATTCAAAACCTCGCTCAACCTTGCGTCCCCTTCCGGCTCCGGCGCCCGCAACAGCATCCCGCGCTCCATCAACATGGATACCAGCTTTGCCACCGCCGCATCCAGCGTCTCCGAGGCGGCCTGCTGCTGGCGCTGCGCGCCATTCCCTGCGTTCCGGCGGTTGCCACCGGCCGCATCCACGAATGACATCCCTTCCTGTACGCGGCCGTCTCCTGCCATCCTCCTTTGCGTATCCGCCTTCTTCGGCGCCGCCACTGGGCGCGGGCGGTGCTTGATGCCAGTGCACTTGGCAACGACATGGTCTGTCTCGCCGCAGGCGTAGCAGGCGCGGCCGTTAATGGGTGCCCATTTGGCGTCCTTGAGCTTGCCACTGAAGCGTAAGGCTAGCGCTTCCTCAAGCGCGTCCGGCGAATCGAAAATCACTGCGGCCGCACGTACCAGGCGCTGCTCGGGGCCGCGTCGCATGACTTGGACAGACACGGGGGTGGGGCATTCGAAGCGGGCAAGCTCGTTGAACAGACTGAGGTCAGTCGAGCCCGCGGGGAGGTTGTAGAGCCCAATGGTGGCCTTGCGCTCCTTTTCGTAGTCGGGGCTGTTACCGTCGAGGTGCACCTTGAGCATGGTGCCCATGACGAAGAAGTGCCCGCGACGGATGACGTTGTTGATTTCGGGGCAGCAGCGCACACGGAACACAATCGTGCTGCGGTACGTACCACGGAGGCGGGTGGTACCTTCGAGCAGTTCCTCAACTGGTTTACCCACCTGGGCAGCGAGTTGGCTGCCCACGGCCGTGATGGGCATATTCTTGGTCACGTTCTTGACAAAGATGTCCACGAGAGGCGAGTCTTGGTTAGCCGACTTCGGCGCGTAGTCCTTGAAAGGCACCGTTTTGGTGCCGTCCTTTCCGTGAAACTGCAGCCCTTCTCCCACCAGCTTTTCCCACACGCTCTTGACTGGCGTGCGCAGGACAACGACTTTGGGGTTGCCCTTCTTGATGGCGAACGTGGCGTCCGCCAAGTCGTACATGACCTGCTGCATCATGGTCTTCGTGACATTGCCACCGGGGAAGGCGTCGGCGCGGGCGTACGCTTCGTACGAGTCGACGGACTTGGTCGGCGCCAAAGTGCGGATCGGGCGCCCTTGTTCTTGTTGTTCGACTTGCCGATCAACGTTCATTTGATCGTCGTCGGCGGCGCGCCCAGCCCCAGCGGGAGCGCCAGGGGGGGCAGTGGTCGACATGGGGTGATTTTTGGTGCGTTTAAAAGCTGGCGAGCTGGCGAATCCAATGCAGGGAGTGTTTTTAACGGCGGCGTGGCTTAGCAGGGCGGCGTTTTTTCCAGCGTGCCCGAGCGGTTAAGGGGATTGACTCGAAATCAATTAGGCTCTGCCTGCACAGGTTCGAATCCTGTCGCTGTCGTGACTTGTTTTCACTTTTTTGTTTGTTCGTAAGCGGAGGCAGCTTGGGCGAGACCACTGATGGTCAAGTGCTTCATTCACATTAGTGAGGCAGTGGCCTTGAGACGTTGCATTTGAATTCTTCGTCAAAAACGGAAAGTGGGAACAAATTTCTGATAGCCGACCACCTTAACATACCTCATTTGACATTCATTCAGTCCTGTACGCCGAAAAACTCACCATTTTCTCACAGTCGGCGTCCATGGAAAAGAAATGATATCGCGTTTCCTCTTGTCTTTTGGCATCAGCCAGCGTTACGCGTCGACCTCCGATCTCACAGGTGCAGATCCAGCCAAAGCGAAAGCGAAAGCGAAAGCGAATGTCGACGTGGCGGCGGCGGCGTTGTGCTTTTTGCTGGCCCGCATCATCAACGCCCACAACGCAGTTATCGCAAGCTCTCCATGCAGCAAACATCGACGAAATAAACATCGCTCATCAGACAATTACACCATGGTCAGTTTCAATGATTTTCCATCCCAATCGCATGCACCAACGTCCGAACCCTGGCTAGCAAACGACACCCACACGCAACATGATCTGCTACACCACCCCGTCCCGCAGTGCAGGGCAAAGTGATCCGTGCCCGCTAACTAAATTCTGTCAACGCCGCCCGTTCAATCTTTGCCGCTTCCGCCGCCGCCACCTTATGTAGTCCGCCAAGCCCTCCCCATCTCCCGCCATGAACTCGCCCCGCGGCGCCGGTCCTCGTACCACCCAAGGCCCAAAGGGCACCGTTGTTCGGTACTCCGCTTTGCTTATTCGCTCTGGCCGTACAATTCCATCAACCGGGACCTTGGGTTTGCTCACTCATACCTTTTCTCTTCGAAATTGCAGCAAGCGCAAGCAGGTCAACCGTGAAGCCCAATCCGCGGCCCGCTCTGCTGCTGGTGGCAACACGGCCGGAATGATGCGCAACTTCAACGACGAGGCACCGGGGCTCAAGGTGTACGTGCCCGCAACGGTTATACAATGCTTGTTTCATGGTGTTCCACTCGCACTGACCTCGGCCACTTTGCTTCACAGTGATCCCGTCATGGTTCTCGTCGCTTCGCTCGTCTTCATCGCCTCCGTCTTCCTGCTCCACATCTACGGCAAGCTGACCGGAACCAAGTAACGTAATTCCTTGGTTGTATCCGCGCCTGCCCAGTTTCGCCTTCTTCGTCGCCTTCATCTCTGGTTGTTTTTCTGCAATGCACCAATTGACGTAGCATCCTCAATAGTGTTCCTTGTTGCCCTCTTCTCTGTTTCCCCTTTTGGCTTGTCTTGATGTTTTCGCTGTTCCCCATTACACATATTTAAACTGCTTGAATGACTTGTATGTGAAAAGCACATGTACGGCTGAGTTGGGCTGCAACACACATGTTTGGCTGGGACTAGTTTGCACTTGCCCGTAAACCAGAAACAAGCAGGCTCGAGAGGCGAAACGGGGGGAAAAAGTATGTACAAATGTGCATTCACAACAGCAGGTATCAAACTCGTTGTCGTCTTCCGCCTTGCATCTTTTACCTTCCCATCGATTCATCGCCTGGGTGTCTCTCGTCGACCACCACAGAGCAGCAGCCGCCTTGCAACTCGGGCAACCACGTCACGTCTTGAATGGTCTCGCTAATGAATCCATCACCTCCCATTTCGCATTTGCGCCGCCGTCCCCGCCTGTGGCCGCACAGTGATTGACGCACTTGCCGCCGCCTGGGCCGCGGCCTGAGCGGCCAACTCCTCGACCACACGCTTGCGCTCCAACGCCAACCCCAATGGATCATGAAACCTCACCACGGTATTAAACTCGCGATCAATTCGCTCAATCTCCTTTGCAAACTTGACGGCGGCCGACCCGGCCGATGGCCCGGACGCTTCCTGAGTCTCGAGCTGGTCCTTTTGCAGCATGAGCTTTTGCTGGGTGCGCGAGAGGAACCCGCCAGACTGGGTGGGTAACGGGCCCGCGGTGCCCTTGGTCGGGCCGGCCGAGCTGGTGCCATTGGCGGCAACAGTGGCATTTGAGTAAGGTGGCGGCGGGGCTGAGGACGGGCCGGGTTGGGCGGGGGCAACTGCGGCGGCCGAGGTTGTGAATGAGGCTGTGGATTGGTCCATGGCGTGGCGGGGATTGCATAGAGTACAGTTCCAAGTCGCGGGGACACAGTACAGTACCGAATGCCGATGCCTTGATGATTTGATGATCCCATGTGATGCGACAGCGCTAGCACAACTTTTGCGGCACATTCGGCCGCCGATTCCGATTCGAAGGCACTCACACCAAAACGAAAACCTAACCTAAAACCCTAACCCTAGCTCCATCCTCTCCTGCCTTTGCCAACCAGGTGTGACTCGATGCCCGGGGAATCCATACAAACAACGCATCAATGACATCCGCCTCGCCACCCTCGGCCCGCCACCATTCGCGGCCACCCAGCACATCACCGCCCGGGCGATCGCCGTCAAAGTCCCCGTCCTCGTCGTCGCGCGGCCACGGTGCTCCCCAAGATCACCTCGAAACCCACTTGGACTGGGTGTACAACAAGCTCCCGCTCTTTGACACGTGCCGCGACACGGGCGACCCGATCCGCCTGCAAGTCGAGACCCCGGTTCCCTTGGCCGGGGCCCTTGCCGACACCGATCACGACGACGTCTGCACCTTGCACACAAACGCCGATGCGGTCCTGCGCGCGTTCCGCAAGTGGCTCGCACCCGACGGTGACGGCGCCGCCGACGCCGAAGTATCGGTCGACGTCATGTCACATTGGCCCATCCTCGGCGCCGGTGATCAGCGCCAAGTGAGTGCCTTGACGAGGCTGTGCAAGCGAGTGATTCCGCCCTTTGCTGGTCCGTCCGCCAATGCCTCATTCTTTTTTTTGCGCAGTTGGACTCAATCCCTTTGTGTGCCATCTCATCCACCGCCCAGCCGCTGTTTCGGCCATGGAATACGACGACGACATCACGGCGGATCCGCCCGCAACTGGCATCTCGTTCAACCTACGCGCGCTGCTCATTTACCTCGACCATGCTGCGTCGCCTGGTGTCACAAGTGCCGTACAGCTGGCGCTAGCCGTTGCTTCCATCATCAAGCACGATTCGCAGCCGGAAATTACCATTCCGGGTGCCGACTTGGCCGGTTGGATTCGCGCGCTGTTGTTTGATTTGGACCCACAGGCCACCATTATTGAGGAGCGCAAGGATTTGATGCTTCGGTCGGTCAGGGTGGTGTCGATGCTTGCTGCCAGGGTGGCCATCATGTTGATGAGTTTGGTATGTGCCTGATTGGGCAAAGCATCAGCAAGTATACTTGATTGACTGACGACCGTGCGCTTTTGTCAGGCCGTATACGCAGGCGCACCAGTCGACGATCTCGATCTCGAGTTTGGACAGGCGCTCGAGTCCATGTGCTCGGAATGGGGAGATGTGGTCAACAGGGTATGTCCGTCGCCCTTGATTTGCTCTGCGTGGGCTCACCCTTGTTTTGTATCTTGGTAGCTACGCGAGCTGCCTGTCAATAAGCAAGACTCTGCCATCCGGCTCCCGGCAGTGGTCGCCAGCTCGCTGCGTTGCGTAGTCGCCGAGCAAATCTTACACATGGAATTGAACGGGGGTGTCCGAACTGTACGATGACTTCTGTGACCCATGTTGATGATTTCTGAAGCCTGAGCCAGACGCTTTTACTTGACCCAGTCTCATACGTCGACGACGTCCACAGCCTCGCGCGTGTCCTCGCCGCATTCGCTCACCATCTCGACATCCCGTACGACCAAGGACGCCGCTGGACACGTGCCCACGAGCCGCCCCGAAACCGCAAACACCTCGTCCTCGGGCGAAACAACACCCAAAGCATTCACCCACGCTCAAGCCCTTGCCAGCCAAGATGAGCAACACGACGAGCAAGATGGCGGTGAGGACGACAACGGGACGTACCCGGATCCAGGCACGCGCCCCTTCTTTGATTCGCTGCCCACCCAGCAAATGCAGGACATGCAGGCGGCCATGCAAATCGGATGGATTCTCGGGCCCGCCGAATCGCAATTCCAGCGGTTTGAGGACGTAAGAGCATACATGCCGATGCCTACTGTGGTGCATGGCAGTGATAGCGAGGAGGAGCAAGAGCACGAGTCGGACGGAGACAACGGCAGTGACCGCGAGCCTTTTGTGCTGGCGCACGTGGACGAGCTCATGGACCAGCGCGCGAGCGAGGAGGACGAGGACGAGGACGAGGAAGCGGATGCAGACGAGGCCGATGAGCACGAGCAGCAGATGCGTGATATGGGTGCCATCATGGGATTGGGTGTGCAGGCAGGGGATGGAGATGCAATGGATGAGGATCAGGAAGATGCGGATGAACATGAACTTGTATCAACTGCCACGGTACGCTTCCAATCTCGCAATGAAGGTTGTCCATTGCATGACTGACGAGCTGCCTTGTGCAACCACAGCGCCCAAAGCGTGCCCGACAAGATTCGTCCGAGTCCAACCTCGACGCTGACACACTTTGCCACGACCCGCCCGATGGCTTCGGTAAAGACGGCAGCCACGACGACGAGCATGATTCGGGCGACGTTGACCTTGCCCGCCCACTCCACAAGCGCCGCAAAGTCGACGGCTCGCCGCGGTTCAAAGTCTCGGAGCAAACCGTCAACAGACGCGCCAACGGCGGCAGACTCATTGATACTCAACCGTCTCCATCGCACCGTTCACACGCGTCGATGCAGCCGCCATCGTTTGATGACCTCACGGTCCGTGGAGACTCGACCACGGGCCGACTTGCCATGCCGCCGATTCCATCACCGTCTCGGTCGCGGCAACGTGCGGCTACGGCTGCGGCCACCTGTCTCATGGATATTGGCCGTGACGACGACAACGGAGGCACCGCCAACGACCGTGCAGAGCAACCGCCCGCGCAAATCCAGCAACTGGACCGGCGCCCACCCTGGACGCGCCAACCACACCCGCATCTGCCTGGCGCGCGCATCGCATCAATGC